AAAACAGGTCTGAGATTTCAGACTAATCAGAGTAAATAGTCTGATAAAGTCAGCTCTGGTGCCGCCCTGAGCTGCTTGTTTAGGACATTCCCCTATGCAGTCTAGGGGGTGTGTCAAACATGTGTATTTGTCATGTTTGTATAGACTGTATAGGGTCGCATCTTAGAGGGTACAACACTTAGGTATATCTGTGTGTACTCTCACTCTATGATTATTCACTTCTCTAATTTGATATGAAGGCCTTTCAGACCTTTTTTTTTTGGGGGGGGGTTGGCTCAGAGTGTCAAACATGTGTATTTGTCATGTTTGTATAGACTGTATAGGGTAGCCTCTTAGAGGGTACAACACTTAGGTATATCTGTGTGTACCCTCTCTCTAACATTATTCACTTCTTCAATTTTTTGATATGGTATCACGCGTAGGTAGGATCCCCCCCCACCTACCGCTTCCGCTCGCCCCCCTAGCCCCGTCCCGTCCCCTGTCCACGTTCCCTCGGGACCCGGTGTCCAGCCTGTTCACTCTGGACACCGTGACCCCCCCGGCTGGAGCGCTCACCCAGGTTGCTGCCGCCTGCTCCTGTCGGTCCTTCACTCATCCGACCCTCCTTTGGCACCACCGCCTAGGTCACCCTGCGCTCCCGCGTCTGCGTCACATGTCCCAGCACGGTCTTGTCCTTGGTCTCCCAGGTTCTCTCCCTGTGTTTCCCTCCTCCCCAGCCCCACCTTGCACGCCTTGTGTCGAGGGTCGGCTTCGCCGTGCCCCTCACTCCTCCTCGTTTCCCCCTACCGCCGCGCCGTTGCAGACCCTGCACCTGGACGTATGGGGCCCCGCCCCTGTCCCTGGGCCGCGTCGAGAGCGCTACTTCCTTGTGCTTGTCGACGACTTCACACGCTACACCACAGTCTTTCCCCTGGAGCGCAAGGCCGACGTGTCTGGCGCTCTCATCCCCTGGCTTGTCTCTGCGCGTGTCCACCGCGGTCTCCCTGTCTTGCGTCTTCACTCAGACCGTGGTGGCGAGTTTGCCTCAGGTGTCCTTGGTCGCTTTTGTCGTGCGGAGGGCATCACCCAGACGTTCACCCTACCGGACTCCCCACAGCAGAATGGGGTCGCTGAGCGACGCATCGATTTGGTCATGGAGGTGGCTCGCACCTCCATGATCCATGCCAGTGCACCCCATTTTCTGTGGCCGTTCGCTGTGCGCTACGCTTCTCACCAGCTTAACCTGTGGCCGCACCCTCAGCAGCCGCAGGTTTCGCCGACCCGTCTTTGGACTCGGTCTCCTGGTGACGCGTCTGCGTTCCACGTCTGGGGCTGTCTTGCTCACGTCCGTGCCTCCGGCACGGACAAGCTCACTGCCCGCACTCTTCCCTGCGTCTTCCTCCGTTTTCCTCTTGACGCGTCCGACTGGCACTTTTACCACCCGCCAACTCACCGCTTCTTTCACTCTCGTAACGTCACCTTTGACGAGTCCGTCTCCTACTACCGTCGCTTCCCCCACCGTGGTCCCCCGGTTACTCCCCCCCTGTTCTTGGTCCCTCCTTCCCCGGTAGTCCCTGCCCCTCCTCCTTCCCCTCCCCAGTCCCCTCCTCCCCCGCTTCTGCCGCCGCTGCAGCCGTCGTTGCCGCCGCCGCCGCTGCCGTCGCAGCACCCGTTCGCTGACTCTGGGGGTGCTCGTCCCGGTAGCCCTGGGGGTGGTCCCTCTGGGGGTGCTGGTGTGGAGAGTGTCGGGGGTAGCCGAGGAGCAGCTAGCGGTCCCGATGTCGCCGTTGTGCCGCCGCAGCAGCAGTCCCCGCCGGTGTCAGCCCTTCGCCTGCTCGGCCTGCCGTCCCCCGACCCTGCGTCGGTTCCTCCCCGACCGTCTCCTCCTCTTCCTGTCTACGGCCCTGTTTTCCCTCCGCCGGACTCGTCCCCGGCTCGTCTCCCCCCTCGTTCCCCTCCTGTGTCCCCTCCTCTGTCTCCTGACCCGACTCCTCCGTCGCACGTCTGGTCTCACCGTCCCTCCCGTGCTCGTCCTGCTTCGCCTGTCCTGCGCTCCCACCCTATGTTGCTTCGTTCCTCGCGTCCTTGCCTCTCTCGTTACCGACCCGTCTGTTCCGGCCTCGTGCCTTGACGCCCTTGTTGCTGCTGTCGCTGACTTCGCCTCTTCCCGCCGCCTTGACTACGCCTCCGCTCTGGTCTCTGACCCTGCCTGTCCTCCGTCTGTCGGGGGTGCTCCTGCCCTTGGCAGTGACGTCCTGGAGGACCGCCAGTTCGAGCTTGCTTTCCTCTCCGAGGCTGCTCCCCATCTCTGTTCCATGCTGCTAGTCCCTGAGGGTGACCCAGACGCTTTTGACATCCCGACCCCTCGCACTTACGCTGAGGCGACCTCGGGACCCTGGGCCTCGCAGTGGATAGCTGCCATGGAGCAGGAGATGGCATCTTGGAGATCCACCGGCACCTTCGTCGACGCAGTTCCCCCGCCTGGGGTGAACGTAGTCGATGGCCGCTGGCTCTTCAAGGTGAAGCGCCCTCCTGCAGAGCCGCCTGTGTTCAAGGCGCGCTATGTCGCTAGAGGCTTCAGTCAGCGCGAGGGGGTGGACTTCTTCCAGACCTTCGCTCCGACCCCGAAGATGACTACTCTTCGGGTTCTGTTACACCTAGCTGCTCAGCGTGACTACGAGCTTCACTCCCTCGACTTCTCCACTGCCTTCCTTCAAGGCAGCCTACACGAGCAGGTCTACCTACGTCGCCCTCCTGGGACCCAGTGGCTCCTGCGGCGCCCCGTCTACGGCCTGCGCCAGGCTCCCCGTGAGTGGCACGACACTCTCCGTGCTACGCTTGCTGACCTGCAGCTCTTTCCGTCTTCCGCAGACCCTTCCCTCTTCGTTCGTGCTGGCCAGACTCCGTTCTACATCCTTGTTTACGTCGACGACTTGGTCTTTGCCACAGCAGACAGGGACGCACTGGCCTCCGTGAAGGCAGAGCTGCTGAAGAGACACACCTGCACTGACCTTGGAGAACTGCGCCGTTACCTTGGCTTGCAGATCTCCAGGGACAGAGCTGCGCGCACCATCACCCTGACTCAGTCACACTTGGTGTGCCAGGTCTTTCAGAGGTTCGGCCTTCAGTTCTCCTCTGCACAGCCCACCCCTCTGCCTGCAGACCACAGGCTCTCCGCTCCAGTGTCTGAGGAGTTGGTAGAGCCCAGCGGCCCCTACGCAGAGCTAGTGGGTTGCCTCATGTACCTGATGACTTGCACTCGCCCAGATCTCGCATACCCTCTCAGCATCCTGGCTCGCTTTGTGGCCACAGGCAGACACCGACCGCAGCACTGGTCTGCCGCTAAGAGGGTTCTGCGTTATCTTGCTAGTACATCGGGCATGGGGTTAGTGCTAGGAGGACGCAGGCCAGTGGTCCTTACTGGACACACAGACGCTTCGTGGGCAGACGACGCTGAGACACTCAGGTCTACCCAGGGCTACTGCTTCAGCCTTGGCTCAGGTGCTGTCTCGTGGAGAGCTACTCGCTCCTCGTCTGTGGCGCAGTCCAGCTGTGAGGCTGAGATCTACGCTGGTGCCATGGCAGCACAGGAGCTCCGCTGGCTGACCTTCTTGCTCACTGACTTAGGTGAGCGGCCTAGCTCTGCCCCGGTCCTGTTCGCTGACAACAGGGCCATGATCCTCCTGTGTCAGGAGCCTCGACTCGAGGGCAGAGCGAAGCACATTCAGCTGCGGTACTTCCTCCTGCGTGAGCTACAGCAGCGACGTCAGGCTCGCGTAGTACACTTGGCCTCAGGTGCCAACACGGCTGATATCTTTACGAAGGCGCTTGCGCCTAAAGATCATCAGCGGCGCTGTGTACAGCTTGGTCTAGTTCCTGTAGCCTCTCACTTGCTAGGACCTTGACTTTGTACTGTCCTTTATATGTATACTCAGACTGGACTTGTGTCCTCTCCAAGTGGCTGGACTAGTAGTGCCGCCCTGCTCTTGTTCTTGCCTTGTCTGTACTCCTTCTGACTGGTCTCTCAGCCCCTTGTCTCAGAGGTTGGACTAGTAGTGCCGCCCTGAGCTGCTTGTTTAGGACATTCCCCTATGCAGTCTAGAGGGTGTGTCAAATATGTGTATTTGTCATGTTTGTATAGACTGTATAGGGTAGCCTCTTAGAGGGTACAACACTTAGGTATATCTGTGTGTACCCTCTCTCTAACATTATTCACTTCTTCAATTTTTTGATACTGAGTGCCTTTTTTTGAAACGTCAGTCCTGCTTGTGTCGTCTTGCAGTGGCTGGACTAGTAGTGCCGCCTTGGTCTTATTCTTGCCTTGTTTGTACTCCTTCTGACTGGTCTTTTAGACCCTTGTCTCAGAGGCTGGACTAGTAGTGCCGCTCGAGCTGCTTGTTCAGGACCTGCCCCTATGCAGTCTAGGGGATGTGTCAAACATGTGTATCTCCTATGTTTGCATAAACTGTATAGGGCCACCTTTTAGAGGGTACAACAGTTAGGTATATTCACTTGCACTCTTTCTCTACTCATTTTATTCAGTTCTCACTTTGATACACCCCTCCTTGTTTCCCTCTCTTCTATGCTGATTCTTTTTTCTCTCCTCAACTTTTCTCCTTCCTAAACCGCTCGCCACTCCATGGCTCCTCCTAGCTAAACCTCATGCCTTTCCTAGCTTCCTAGCTAAGCTAGCCTTCTAACAGTTGCGACCGCTCAAGTCCCTTCGTCCTTTCGTATTCTTTCATCCAACCTCCTCGTGTAACCTCCGTTGACTTGCGTACTCAATAAAACTTTCCTCGAGTGTAGTGTTATACTTCAGAACATTCCTATTGCTCCTGGAGTTCATAAATGACTGTTCGTACATTTCTTCTCCGCATTAAATTATCCAGGAATAACTACCTAGAAACCCAAGCCCAAGTTTACCAACTGTAAAACAGTTGGGTTGGATTAGTACTGATTGGCTGGCGAGTTGTGACACCAGTGAAATTGCCCAACAAGTGTTGCAATTCACGCACCCTCACGACACAAAAACTGGTTTCTTCCAACCAACTGTAAAACATTTGCTCCTGATTCTAGAAACTAATTCTTCGTGCCAAAACTCACGACAGTTAAATACAGTTCGCTAAGCTGTGAATCAGTTCACAAAAACATTACAATCTATGACCTGCTGCCAATGTCAAACTAACATGCTGCTCCTACCTTTGACATCTACTCTAACCAGCACGACCATCACTGACGACCGTGGCCGCACTGGTGTAGCCGATTCTGAACACACAGCAAAGGGTAAATAACACATCTGACGTCAGACTGCTAAAAGAGAGCAGGTAAGGAACGCAGCTGACCGCAAATGCTAGGCACAGCTTAGTCACTTTGACAGGTACATGTGCGGGAAACAGTGAAGGTCTACCAGGTGCACCATGAAAATCACTTTCTTGGAGTCTGTTTAGTCAAGCCGACCGGCTTCCTTTTGCGTCAGATTATCGGCCTTATTCATTGACTTCATGGTCAGGTGCCTTGGTGCGCCATGACCTTTAGTTCACAATGCGGCGGCCAGGAGGAAGCAAGCAGGGGGGAAGACTGCATACCTTGGGGGTGGCACGGGCTCTCTGTCGGGAGCGGAGGCGTTCAGAGGTTAAGCTCGACGGGCAGGTCATCGATGCAGTCGAACCATGGCCCCTTGTTCTGCTCCGCCTTCAACGTCCGAAGCGCACGCCACACCGCGCTGTTACACTTGAACCCGCTGCCGAACGCGATCTGCCACACGCGGTCACCCCGTCGCACGCGTCCCTTAGCTTCAGCGTACGACAGCTCGTACCAGATCGAGGAGGAGGAGGTGTTGCCGAAGCGGTAGAGGGTCATCCGAGAGGGCTCTAGCTGGTTCTTCTTCAGCTGCAGGTTCTTCTCCAGCTCATCCAACACGGCTCTGCCGCCAGCGTGGATGCAGAAGTGCTCGAAGGCGAGCTTGAAGTCCGGGATGTACGGCTTCATCTTCACGCGAAACAGCTTGCGAGCCATCAGCACGGCGAAGAAGAGCAGCTGCTCCGAAAGTGGCAGCACGAGCGGGCCGAGGGTTGTGATGTTGGTCTTGAGAGCGTTGCCAGCAATGGCCATGAGATCGCTGGAAAGAGAGACTCCAATCTTCCCCTCGTCGTCCTCCTGCTGGTACACGCACCGGTAACTCTTGTTATCCGCACCCATGTGCGTGCGCACCGTGTGAGTCAACTCGTATTTGGAGCGCCGGCGATCTTTACCCTTGTTCGAAAGAAGCATGGCGGCACCGCCCATCCGGAAAATGCAGTTAGGGATGAGCATCGAGCGATCCTTGCCGAAATACCACTCAGGGGTGAGAGTCTCCATGCTCATGACAACAGCATACGTGGAACCATGCACCTGGAGAAGATCCTTCGCCAGATCAACCGAAATCACGCCCGCACTGCACCCCATGCCGCCGAGGTTGAAGGAGCGAATATCGCCACGCATAGCGTACTTGTTGATGATGGCCGCGGACATGGAAGGTGTCGGGCAAAACACGCTACAGTTCACCACGAGGACCCCAACGTCACGCGGCTTCACGCCAGTCTTCTTAAACAGCTCGTCCAGGCACGCGAACATGACCAATTCCGCCTCCAGCCGAGACCCCGCTAGTGATGGATATGGCGGGTTTTCATGAAGACCAGGAGGCAAACACGTGTCCTGGCCGAGCCCTGACCGTGTAACGATCTTGCGCTGAAACTCGAGACTGGCCTGATCAAAAACGCCAGATTCTTTCGAGTACTTCATAAACGTCTCCAAGGAGACCTTGAGGTGGTCAGGAGGGCGGTAACAAGCGAAGTCGACGAGGTACAGAGGTCGGGGACGGGAAAGGATGAACACAGTAGCGCCGAAAACAACTGCAGCACAGCACCCGACTACGCTGACCAGATTCAACTGCAAGTGCTGCCAGAGTTGGAGAAGATCGTCGGGACGCATCCGAAGGACTTCAACACCCACCGAAATAAAGAGGGGTATGAGCAACAGGGGCACGCCATGAGTGATAAGGTAGTGGTACCCCAGCTTCACATGGCTTAAATTAACACTCTGAAGAAAATCGGGCAGGACCCGACGGTTGACTGGAATGGACACTGCATCAGGAGCGGGCTTGGCTGGCAATAGAGGCCGGCTCTGGTCGGAGTTCCGAGGCTTGGAGCCTTCCATCGTGAGAAAAGAAGCCCGACGAGAAACAGAACTCTGAATGAGAAACGAACTTTCAGTCTACAATGGCTGAGAGAGCAAGACGAGGGATATGGATGAAACTTGGATAGGAGGGTGCTGCTGCCTCAATCGAAGCTGAAACGGACACAGGCTCTCTCCAGGCACGGTGGATCGAGCACAATAGCAAGGGCGGGAAACCACAGCGCAAGTTGGGACTACGTGTAATGTAGATCTCAAGGTGGCTGGTTTGTGACCAGACAAAGGGGTTTCGCGGTCACAAACAAGGCTCGGCTGGGCGGGAAGATCAGCTCAAGGGCTGGAACTTGCAGTGGCTAACCACCTGCGCTTCGTCTAACGAACCAGCTTCATTGCTTCGGTAACAGGCACGAAGCCGTTCAAACCTAGACTTCCGGTTCGAGAGCGGCCGCGTCAGGCATGCTGGCTTGGCGGAAGCCAGTTGCACACAAGCCAAGCAATACTCCACATACAGTGATAGCAATTGTGTAAGATAGATCAAAACAACACTCTAAGTCAGGTGCATTGTCACTTATGGGTTACTCATTTCATTTGTGAGACTTGCTGCCAATGAAATTTACTAATTGTAGCCTATGGGTTACTCATTTCATTTGTGAGAAAACACTGTAAGTCCGATGCATTGTCTTTTGAAATGTACTATCTCTATCCCGAGAAATGAGAATTATTTGCAAATGGAAGTGAAGGCCTTTAGGACACCGCGATCAGGGCCTCAGAAGTCAGGCCAAAAAGGCCTGAAAGCCTGAATATCAGGGTGTTTTCTAGGGCATACCCTGTTTCTGTCAAACATGTGTATTTGTCATGTTTGTATAGACTGTATAGAGTCACCTCTTAGAGGATACAAAACTTAGATATATTTGTGTGTACTCTCACTTTACCATTATTCATTTTTTTCTGATATGGTATCAGAGCGTAGGTAGGATCCCCCCCCCCCCACCTACCGCTTCCGCTCATGCCCCCTAGCGCCCCTCCTGGGCCCCGTCGCGCTCCTCCCAGGCCCCGTCGCGCTCCTCCCAGGCCCCCTAGCGCCCCTCCTGGGCCCCATCGCGCTCCTCCCAGGCCCCGTAGCGCCCCTCCTGGGCTTCGTAGCGCCCCTGCCAGGCCCCGTCGCGCCCCTCCTGGGCTTCGTAGCGCCCCTGCCAGGCCCCGTCGCGCCCCTCCCAGGCCCCGTCGCGCTCCTCCCAGGCCCACTAGCGCCCCTCCTGGGCCCCGTCGCGCTCCTCCCAGGTCCCGTAGCGCCCCGTCGCGCCCCTCCTGGGCCCCGTAGCGCCCCTCCTGGGCCTCGTCGCGCCCCTCCTGGGCTTCGTAGCGCCCCTCCTGGGCCCTGTACCGCCCTCCCAGGCCCCGTCGCGCCCCTCCCAGGCCCCGTCGCGCCCCTCCCAGTCCCTCTAGCGCCCCTCCTGGGCCCCGTCGCGCTCCTCCCAGGCCCCGTAGCGCCCCGTCGCGCCCCTCCTGGGCCCCGTAGCGCCCCTCCCAGGCCTCGTCGCGCTCCTCCCAGGCCCCCTAGCGCCCCTCCTGGGCCCCGTCGCGCTCCTCCCAGGCCTCGTAGCGCCCCTCCTGGGCTCTTTCGCGCCCCTCCTGGGCTCCGTAGCGCCCCTCCTGGGCCCCGTCGCGCCCCTCCTGGGCCCCGTAGCGCCCCTCCTGGGCCCCGTCGCGCCCTCCTTGGGCCCTGTAGCGCCCCTCCTGGGCCCCGTCGCGCCCCTCCCAGGCCCCGTAGCGCCCCTCCTGGGCCTCGTCGCGCCCCTCCTAGGCTTCGTAGCGCCTCTCCTGGGCCCCCCGTCGTGCCCCTCCTGGGCCCCGTAGCGACCCTCCTCGGCCGCGTCGTACCCGTCGCCGCCGCCCGGCCCCGTCGTGCCCGCCCGGCGCCGTCGCGCCCGCCCGACCCCGTCGCCGCCGCCCGGCCCCGTCGCGCCCGCCCGGCGCCGTCGCCGCCGCCCGGCCCCGTCGCGCCCGCCCGGCGCCGTCGCACCCTGCCTGGCCCGTCGCGCTCGCCCGGCCCCGTCGCAGCCGCCCGGCCCCGTCGCACCCGCCCGGCCCCGTCGCACCCTGCCCGGCCCCGTCACAGCCGCCCGGCCCCGTCGCACCAGCCCGGCCGCCGTCCCGCTCGCCCGGCCCCGTCGCACCGGCCCGGCCCTGCCGCACTCGCCCGGCCCCGTCGCCCCAGCCCGGCCCCGTCGCGCCCGCTCGGCCCCGTCGCCCCGTCCCGGCCCTGTCGCATCAGCCCGGCCCCGTCGCGCCCGCCCGGCCCCGTCGGGCCAGCCCCGGCCCCGTCCTCCTCACTAGTACTGTCAGCCCCTAGAGTTCGAGGCGTGGCTTGCCGACCTCCGCCGCCAACTCACTGGCCAGCGGCAGGATGGTGAACCGCTTTCCGCACACCTTGACGGTACGCTCCCCTGCCCAGACCCTCCTGCTATTCTGCCCGCTGACCCCACACCCACTGAGCGTGAGTCTACTGCTGCCACTGCCCGTGCGCGCTCTGTCTGGCTTTCTCGCGATGCAGTCGCCCAGCTTGCCATTAGCAACGCCCTCCCCCCGTCCGAGCGTCCTCGCTTTAGGTCCCTCACTACTGCTCAAACATACTTAGATGCCGTCATCAAGCGCTATTCCACCCCTCCGGCTGCCTCGGTGGGTCGCCTGATCCTCCCGCTGCTCTTTCCTGACCTTGCTTCGTTCCCCACTGTCTCTGACCTCGCTGCCCACCTGCGCTCGATAGAGGAGACCTGGCGCGCCGCATGCACTGACGCACAGCTTAGAGCCCACCAGCCGCCCATTACCTCTACCCTCTACCTGCTTGCCACCCGCCTCCCTGACCGCCTTGCTGTCGCCCGCGACCGCTTCCTTAGTGTTCACCCCGCAGACCTCACCCTCACTGACTTTGTCGACACCCTGACTGTGATAGAGACCCGTCACCGCTCCATCGCCCAGGCGAGCGGTGTCGTGCCGGTCCCTATCTTTCAGGGTTGTGCCCCCGCTCAGTGTACCTTCTCCGACGGCTCTGCCGCAGTGGCTGAGACTGCTGCTGCAGCGCAGGCCCGTTCTGGGAAGGGCCGCCGCCCCAAGGCTGGGCGCGGCGGAGGGGGCGGCGGGGGTGCGGGCGGGGGTAGTGGTGGGGTCGGGTCGCCTGGTGCTGGAGCGGACGAGGGGACCCTGCCCAGTCCAGCTGAGTCGCCGCCCCTGCAGTTGCAGCAGCCGCAGCAGCCGCCGCAGTCGCAGCCTTCGCAGCAGCCGCAGCAGCCGTCGCAGACGCGGCAGACGAGTGTTCTCCCGCCAGGGTGGCCCGGCGCTGGCGGTGGACGGGCGCGTGGTGGTGTGCCGCGTGGTGGCTCTGCCGGCGGGCGTTGTCAGTACCAGATCCAGACCGGTCCTCGCCGCGGTTTCGTTTGCGGTAAGATCGGTCACTCCACTCCCCGCTGCTTTCGTCGCCTGGACGACCTCTTTCGTCAGCGTTTCGGCCCGTCGCCAGACCTCCCGGACTGGCACAGTTTGCTTAGTCGTCAGATTCAGATCTTTGATATGGACATGGATGCCATTGTTTCTGCTCTGCATGTGATGTATGCTGATGACTCTAGTGTGCTTCCGACTTATTACTCACTGTTGCCTAGTGTAGGTGTGCCTAGCTTAGCCTCCCCTGCTGCGTCAGGCGTAGGATCCCCTGCTTTGTGTAGTCTTGGTGCTTCTGCCGTCGTTCCGTCGCCAGACCCCTCGGCTTCGCTTTCCTTCACCTTGGACTCTGGCGCCTCTCGGTGTTTCTTCCACGACTCCACCACCCTGACGCCGCTTCCTGTTCCTGCTGCCGTTTCTCTTGCTGACCCCTCCGGCGGCCCGGTAGTCGCCCGCAGTTCCACCACCCTTCCCTGTCCGGCGGTTCCTTCGGGCTCTCTTACAGGTCTGCATATCCCCTCGTTCTCCAGGAACCTAGTTGGTGTCGGCTGCCTCCAGGACCTTGGCGTCACCACTACGTTCCCTGGTCACGAGCGGTATGCTGTCTGTACCGAGGCCGCCACTGGTGCCCCCCTGTCCACGTTCCCCCGGGACCCGGTGTCCGGTCTGTTCACTCTGGACACCGTGCCCCCCCCGGCTGGAGCGCCCCCTCAGGTGGCTGTGTCTACCCAGGTTCACTCCCCGCGTTTCCCTCCTCCCCAGCTCCACCTTGCACGCCTTGTGTCGAGGGTCGGCTTCGCCGTGCCCCTCACTCCTCCTCGTTCCCCCCTACCGCCGCGCCGCTGCAGACCCTGCACCTGGACGTCTGGGGCCCCGCCCCCGTCTCTGGGCCGCGTCGCGAGCGCTACTTCCTTGTGCTTGTCGACGACTTCACTCGTTACACCACAGTCTTTCCCCTGGAGCGCAAGGCCGACGTGCCTGGCGCCCTCATCCCCTGGCTTGTCTCTGCGCGTGTCCACCGCGGTCTCCCTGTCTTGCGTCTTCACTCAGACCGTGGTGGCGAGTTTGCCTCAGGTGTCCTTGGTCGCTTTTGTCGTGCGGAGGGCATCACCCAGACGTTCACCCTACCGGACTCCCCACAGCAGAATGGGGTCGCTGAGCGACGCATCGGCTTGGTCATGGAGGTCGCTCGCACCTCCATGGTCCATGCCGGTGCACCCCATTTTCTGTGGCCGTTCGCTGTGCGCTACGCTTCTCACCAGCTTAACCTGTGGCCGCACCCTCAGCAGCCGCAGGTTTCGCCGACCCGTCTGTGGACTGGGTCTCCTGGTGACGCGTCTGCGTTCCACGTCTGGGGCTGCCTTGCTCACGTCCGTGCCTCCGGCACGGACAAGCTCACTGCCCGCACCCTTCCCTGCGTCTTCCTCGGTTTTCCCCTTGACGCGTCCGACTGGCACTTTTACCACCCGCTGTCTCACCGCTTCTTTCACTCTCGTGACGTCACCTTTGACGAGTCCGTCTCCTACTACCGCCGCTTCCCCCACCGTGGTCCCCCGGTTACCCCCCCCGTGTTCCTGGTCACCCCTTCCCCGGTAGTCCCTGCCCCTCCTCCTCCTCCTCCCCGTCCCGCCCCCTCTGGTGTCTCCCATG